TTACTACTACTTACTATATTACTTACTACTACTTACTACTATACTTACTATACTTACTACTACTTACTACTTACTACTACTTACTACTACTACTACTACTACTACTACTACTACTACTACGACGACGACAGCTGCTGCTACACTATATATTGACACCTGTTGATATTGCTGCCTGCCCACTGCCACTACTACTACTCCTGCCCCTCCTCATCCTCCCACTACTACACTACGACGACTGCTGTAGACTTCGGTGCTTGTCGTGTACTACCTGGCACTCCTTACCTACTCCTCCTCCGGCCACAATAGTAGCACTGGCCAGTGCTGCTACTATTAAACTATAACACCAGCACTAGTACTGGCGGCACTGCCCAAACAAACACCAAAGTATGACACAAGTTAGGATGAAACCCCGAGCCTATGCACAATACCTTTGTAGAAGGACCCAGTCCTAGACCCACACAAGAGCCCTTACCGAAACATCAAGAGGCCTATCGGTGTTTCGGGTTTAGGGTTTAGGGTTTAGGGTTAACAGCACAGAATGGTCCCAGGCAAGCAGCGGCTGTGTTTCAGGTTGAGGGGGTTTATTTTATAAAAGCCAAGGCTTTCTGGCTGGGGCCTAAACCCTAAACCCTAAACCGTGGTTAGAGGCTGGCGGCACTTGCTTCAGTGTTGAAATATGCAATTATATCTAGGTGCCTCTGGATCCATGGGAAGTGGGGTTTGGGCTTTGGAAGACCTTGCTAGTTGTGGAGGTTGTCGTGTGGGATCAGTGTAGGACCTATTATATAGATTTAAGGTTCAAGGTCTATAGGTATTCTACAAACCAGCTGGCTACCCTAAACCCTTCGAAACCCGGGCCCTGGCCCTATCTGGAGCAGTATCAGCATTAGGAGATAGTACATGTGCTGTTGGTGTTGTAATGGGGATGGCGGTGGTGGCGGTGGCGGCAGTGGTTGCGCTGATGGTGGCGGTGATGGTCTGTATACATTATAAGTAATATAGCATAAGTGCAGCCAGCTAGGCTTTCAGCAGGACCTCCTCCTTGAAGTTTTTCATGACATCGATCCAGCTGTCCGGGATCCTTAATTAAGTGCAATGCACTGGACAACACAGAAGCCAAGACCCTTTAGAGAAAACAGGTTAGCAGAAATGATATATTTCTACAAGGCACTCGACTTTCTTACAGCTGTAGAGGTACAAGAAAACCTCAAGGATGCGGCTGTCTACCCATATATCATCCATAGATAAGGAATCAAAGATTTCCTTGTCGGTGCATCTGCCCAAATCAACCTCTCGACGACCCCTGCACTCGGCCCGCTCGGCGAGGGGGAGACCTCGCCAGGCTTCCTTGGCGGTAGTGTTAGGGCACATATAAGGAATTTGGGGGTGACTGGGTAAATTTAACCAATGCATGGGTACATAAGTTCCCCAGAGTGCCACCTAGATTCATAGGCCTCCATCAGACTCTTCCCGAACTGAGCCGTGTAGACCCTTATGGAGAACAAGCTGCAGCTGCATACCTACATGGTTAGCATGCCATCACAGCACATGCACATACGATGCGGCCAGGCTGCCCAGATTTCCTCAATGCATCCTTGGAGCCAGTGAAGCAGGACCGGCCCTTCTTGTCCACATGTCTACCTCGGACAAGACTCGAGTCTAGCTTCTTTATACAAGATGGGAGGGCTACGGCTTTGCATATTGTAGTGACAAGAAGCGGACTGTAGTCAGCTTTGTCTTGGCCTCACGGTCCTTCTTAGACAGTTTGCCCTTGTCAAGCATCGATATTGTGGACATAGGGGACATCAGCAAAGTTCTCTTTGGCGTGGGTCCCCCATGATGCATCATCCACATGGGTTGACAATATACCTGGGTAGGTAGGTAGGTAGGTAGAGTGGTAAATAGGTAGGTAGGTAGGTAGGTAGGTAGGTAGGTAGGTAGGTAGGTAGGTAGGTAGGTAGGTAGGTAGGTGGGTCGGTAGGTAGGTAGGTAGGTAGGTAGGTCGGTTGGTAGGTAGGTAGGGAGGGAGGTAGGTAGGTAGGCTGTCGGTTTGTACAGGCCAGGTCTGTCGTACCAATAGTACTAGCAACTACAACAGGAAGACACACATCATAAAATGCAACTGGGTAGGCCCACAAACCTTGACGATCCGGTTCACCAGCCAATCCCAGCGCTTGTGCTTCGACAGCAAACTCTGGTGCGGCTGTTCAACCACCCATGTCGCATGCCGACTGAGCATGAGAAGCAGTAAAAGAACAAGCCTCAGCCATAGTTGTACACTCAGAAATGAGTACACTATGCAGTCTAGTGCGATCGACTAATTGCAATGCATGTGTATTTGATTTAGCCTAGTGGCCGAGCCACCAAGCAATTGTTATTGTCAACCCAGGCAAGCCCATTACGTCCCACAGGGTTGATCTCACTTCTCATGCTTGTGCCACGTGCCGGCAGGCCCCAGCTGCTGCAGTCCGGGCCTATGATGTTCACCGCATCCACACATTGGTTCAGCACCGCATACATCGCGATCCTGGGCTGGGAGGATTTGCATTCGATTGGTCACACTATTTCCGGCGGCACAAATTTGTTATTTGCCAGCTACCATTGCACTCTCAACAGATCAGATAAGGGGTCCACTTGTTTTTGATTGGACTTTTGGGCTTTAGGGCTTTAGGGCCTTAGGGCTTTAGGGGTTTAGGGGTTTGGGGTTCAGGTGTTTAGGGGTTTAGGGGTTGGCTTTGGGGCTTGCAGGGTTTATAAGACTATATAGCTTTATAAGCCGTAGGGTTTCAGCTATGTTGATTAGGGCTAGGGGTTTTCATAACTCTTCCCCAATCTAGCCGATTATATACACCCGCAGAAAAGCACTCTTCGAATCGTATAATGCAGCCAAATCTCGAAAACCCTGAGTTCGTCAGGAAATCCATCCCAGGTCCATATACTTTGTCGTAGCTCATGGTTGTGAACCCAGCACGTTGCCTTAGACAAGCTTCAATTAATTAGTACATTCTGCTGACATATCTAGCCAGCCCACAAGTATGCACTTAGTGTGTAGCTGGGTTTGGAACCATTCCTGTGTCACTGCAGCCTCCCCAGCAAAGACTTCAAAGAACTCTATGTTGTTGGCAAACGTCAGCGTGGTCATCCATCGCAACAAGAGAACCTGGGCATCAGGGCTTCGAGCTCGCTTATAGTTTAAAGAATTTTAACGAACTCATAGGACCATTGAGAGACCGACCGTCCCGATAAAGACCTAGCAGGGGGCAACATCACCATCGTACATAATGCATGACTACCCACCTACCTTCGGAGCATCTAGCTGCACCAGGTTCACAACCAGGGACTCGTGGGAATCCATTGCGGCCAAAACAGCCACTGAACCAAAACAGTAGCTGGAGATCGGCACATCGTGCAAAGGCAGTCACAAGCCACAGTGTAGGCAACACAGAAGGTCAAACACCAATCATGTCGGGTTTAGGGGTTTAGGGTT